GTGTGTCGTGGTCACTAACTATATTGCTTGGCATTCCATGGTGCTTATACACAAGGCCGAACATTACTTCTGCGACGTCTCTTGCCTTGTAAGTTTGTTTGGTGGCAGCAAGGTGGACCATTGACATGAGATGATCTATAGCGACCAGTATCATATCGAAAACACCTTGAAGGGTTTTGGATTCAGGAAGGGGACCTACAAAGTCTATGCCTATCATCTCCCAGGGACGAGTTGGGACCTCCAACGTTTCAAGTAGGCCATATGGGTGGTGATTGGACGGCTTGGACACTTGACACATTGGGCAAGAGTCACAAAAGGCTTGGACGTCAGAGACCATGCCTTTCCACCAAACATTTTCACGCAGGTAGAGTAGTGTCTTGGACGGGCCGAGGTGTGCTAAGATAGAATGAGCATGGGAGATAATGATCTCCTGCACTTGCCATTGGCCAATCTTAATGTTTGGTATGCAGAGGATCCGTTTTCCCTTTTCTCTCAAGAAGATTAGGCCGTTGCTCACTTCAAAGTTCTTGTAGGCGGCGGGACTTTGTAGAATCTTTGTAAATGATGGGTCCTCATTGTACTTATGTGCAACATGGACGTGGATGTCTGTGTTTGGGTCGCCTAGCATGATAACCTCGGTCAACAGAGGTGGGGACGTGGAAAGTAGGTCTTGGGCGACTCTTGTTGATGTGTCCTTACTCTGTGGGTCCTTGTTTGCCCCTGGTTTTGGGACATCATCGCTTACGTCATCGGTTCTGGACTTCGCCGGCAGGGTTCTTTTGCTGGTTGGATTTTTGGTCACCTTCTCACCCTCCAGTGGTTTAGAGGGGGGTCCACCCACTCTCAAAATCACTTTCTTGATCTTGGTGACAGGTGAGTAGTTCTCCTTGGGTGCACGCGCTGATACCTCACTGGACGCAGGAATGGGAGCTTTAATATCCCGATCTACTGGGTCAGCCTCATGTCCTTGGCCTTCTGGTGGGCCATACTTCGAACCCGAGTGCTCAGCATCCTCGGTTGGTTGACCCACCGAGTCCAAGGGACCATTTTTAAGCGATCTCATGTTGTTCCGGGTGAGTACTTCTGTGGTACCTCTTTTGAGCGATCTCATGTTGTTTGTCGGCTCACTAGCGCTGGCATCCTCAGGCAGTCCTGACGTGGTGACGACCCCGGTGAGTTCACCCACAGGTGAGTTTTTAGCAATCTCATGTCGTTCGCCAGACCATTGACACTGGTCATCTTCGGCAGTTTTGAGATGATGTCAACCCTGGTGAGTTCACCTTCAGGGGGGTTCTTGAGCGATCCCATGTTGTTCACTAGCCCACGCACACTGGCCACCTTCGGCAGTTTTGGGATGATGGATGAGGTGGTTGGTTCACCCTGCATATCACGGTCAAGTGCGCCACTGTCAACAACAGGGGCTGGGGGTGGGGTGGGGACAGCCTTACGGGCTGGGGTCCTTTTCGCAGCTGGCCGGGCAGGGACGACATCACGGCCAGTCTCATTCGTGAGTTGTTCCGCAATTCGTGCCAACCGTCGTGCTTCTGTGGCACCCAGGAAGAGGGGTGAACCTGTATAAACAGGAGCTGTGATGAAATTGAGGAGGAGTGTTGAGGTGCGTCATCCTCCTCAACGCTCACATACTTGCTTGGAGCTCTAACTGTCCCTTTAGGTTCGTTGCTGTACATTCGTGACAGGGCAACAGCAAGGGTATTATCAGACCCGGGGATGTAAGTAATTTTGAAGTCAAATTCACTGAGGGCCTCTAACCACCGGGCTTGTCTAGGTGATAGCTTGTGCTGGGTGGTTAGCCACTCCAGTCCCTTATGATCAGTGAAAATCTGGAATGGAATCCCTATCAGTAAGTAACAGAATTGTTTCAGTGACTCCACAATCGCTAGCAGCTCTTGCTCATGGACGGGATAGTTCTGCTGAGCCGAGTTGAACTTCCCGACCAGAAGGCTACTACTTCTGCCTTTTGTACAGGGTCGCCTTGCGACAGCACTCCACTCGCGCCAGTGAATGAAGCATCGGTGACCAGGTTCACTGGTGATGAGCCGTTGATCCCGGATGGTAGGTCCAAAGCCTTACGTTTAACGTTTCGGTGAGCATTGACACATGCACGGACCAGGTCAAACACCCTTTGATCTGTGGGGGTCCAGTCCCATTTGGTGGTCTGGGCGGCCACTTTGGATAGGTGTTGCATGTGCACACGCACACCCTCACATCCGGCTGCCAGATACCCGACCGACCCTATAAACTGCATCAGCAGCTCTTTTGAGGTCGGTGTTTTCCAGTGTAGGACCTTGTCCACTTTGTGGGGGTCGAGGTGTATGCCCTCGCGGTCAATCACATGTCCCAGGATGGTGAGTTCTTCTTTAAAAAATTGGAGCTTGTGTTCACTCAGGTAGAAGTGGTTGTCTCACAGGGTATCGATCACGATCTTAACGTGGTGGACGTGATCTTTGGCCGAGTCCGAATAAATGACGATGTCATCCAGGTATACATCCATAAAGATCCCTATGTGCGGACTGAAGATATGGTTCATTAGCGATTGGTACATGGCACCTGCGTTACAATCACCGATTTGCATTACATGACTGATCATTGTGCTGTCAGGGGTAGCAAATAACAATTTAGGTACGTTGAAGGATCTTCAACTCAGCTGAGGGTGCAGCTGATATAATTGTTGAAGGGAGGAAAATATGAGTGCGATATGTTCGTCCCTTAGGGGAAGCGGAGAAAGCAAATATCCACTGGTCAACTCTAGGGGGAATGCGCAAAGCGCGTGATAAGGCGAAAGCGCGGGAACAAAGGCGCTATAGGCGCGCGAAGCGCGGGAAAGTCGCGCGTCGAAAAGCGGAACTGGGTGAAAGCGGTATGCGAGCGATAGTGAGATGTTAAGACGTGTACTGAGATGCTGATAAGACAACTGATGCGGATATGGCCACTAGAGCTAACTGCTACTAGGGCTTGCGATGATTTATTCAAAACATAATAAAAACTCGGAGATGGTGACTGTCTATGATGGTGGTGGTCCGTGGTAATGTGTGTTGTGTAAAGTAAAAATGTGTAATGAAAAATGTGTACCAAGTGAAAATAAACATCGTACGATGTTGAAATAAATGATAAATGGAGAAATGCATACCTGGGAACTTGGTTGGACATGGGAAAACACAGTGGGAAGTCAGGCGCCCTATGGCGCTTAGGCGCGGGAAAATTCGCCTAAAGCGCGCGCAAGGTCGCGCAAGTGTCGCCTATGTCGCGCGCGTCGTGCGAACGTCGCGTTTATCGCGCTAGTGTCACGTTGCATGCATAGTATTGTAGACTCGACCTACAGTGCAATATATGCCATTGTGAGGCTACTCAGGATCGAGTCTCTACACCACGCTGCATTATATGCTTGCTGGGCGATTTCGAGTGCCTATGAGTGAGAATGAGTGAACATGTTAAATCAGAAACAAGAGTAAAAGAAACTTACCTTGTGGACCTCATGCATAGGTGCATCTGGTTGAGGGACCATCATTATCCTCATCGCAGTCCCCGTGTCGCTCCCTGCATCGGATGTGCCGTCTTGTTCTGAATCGCCGTCAGATCCAGAACCAGTGTCTTCAACAGCATCAAGCTCTGCGGTGAAGTCTTCAGCATTGTCTTTGAGTGGGGCTCATCGAGGCATGGTGATCTGTACCTGAGAAGGCAGAACAACAAAGGAAAGACAGAACACAATCCAATGCTCACCCAGATTTCAGTTGTTATAGAAAGGTCCCTCGGGTTATTTACGTATAGAGTACTGCTGGACGATTATGTTGCAGCGTCTGATAAGGCTGCATTATTATGTCAAAGAGACACTGCGCTGCATTTGATGTCAACAATCGAGCGCGTGTCAAGTCTATTTAGGCTTATTAGTAAGTTGTTGATGCAGCAATAATGCAAAGATGTACCTTGCTGCACGTAATTGAACGTGCTCAGAGCGTCCACGCCGTCAATGAAAGTGGGATGATGAATCGCCCAAACCTTCTGCTTGGATCCATCTGTAGATCACTCATCACCCATGTTGCTGTATGTCAGAGTATGCAAATGGATTGGGCTCGATTATGAGTAACGTACATGGGAAATGCAGGAGGAAGTACACCCTATCACCAAGGCCCAAATTGAGGCATATCGGCAATGAGAGGTCGAGGCAAAGTTCCCTTACAAGAACATTAATTACATGCGTAACCAGCGGCCATCATTCCAGAAGATTGAGAAGTGTAAGAAGCTAAGTGGCTCTCGCTGCGAGTTCAAAGGGGTGTGGAGACCGCTAGTGTGATGCTGAAACGCTATAGAACTAGATTAGCATTGACAAATGTTATGCGATAATAATCGAGACGAGTGCGAGACAATAAACGATGGATATAGCGATACGATTTAGAAAATGTGTGCGAGACTGAGACTGGGAGACTGGTATGATTGCCTGTGGTAGTGAGTGTACATGGGCTACTTTTATACTTCAAAATACTAAGGGTCAGATATAGCTATGCCGAATCAATTATGTGACAATGGGCACTGAAGGTATTGGTGTCGCTCCTGACAGGGTAGAGTAGACAGAAAGGAAAGAGAGTACGAGAGGAGTGAGCGAGTAGGAATATAAATGGGTATGGTATTAACGAAATGACGAGAGTTGCATAGTGGTTTTGACAGATTCGGACACAGCAAACTGGGAGTAGGGTGACGGTGACGAATAATGAAAGCTGAGGGTCGACAGTGACGAGAGGAAAGGGAGTTGAGGTCCGTGCTGACCAAGGCTGATGGTGCGCTGATGGTGGTTAAGGTAAGTGTTGAAACGGCCATTTCCGGCATCGAACGATTGGTAATCCTTACAGAAGGAATCTGATCCTGACACATCACCTCGACGGATGGTGAGCTGAAGGACTTTGAGCATACTGGACCGAACTAGCTGGCATATCTGTGGAGTAAAAGGCGAGAGCATTCAGAGCGACAAACAAAGGCAGTGTAATATGTCACTGGCGTGCCCGTGTCTTCATGTGAAGAAACATATCACTGTCGATATGATCAACAATGATAAATTCGCCTTGATGGTCACGGTCAGGGAACAAAACAGCACCGCGGATGACAGACGCGAGTGGAACAAATGTAGAGTTTGCTCTAGGAACAGCCTTGACACGAGTGAGCTTGAGTTCACGGTCAATTCTGCGATGAGCACCAGTGCCCGCAGTGTATGGCTGAACCAGTGCAAAATTAAAAGAGCCGTCGATATCTGGGAGATGGCACTTGAACATAAGAATAAGTTTGACGAATGCTGATTGTTCCGGAGTGAGCTGTATGAGCGCACAATCGTAGCGTGGTTGGCCATGGAAACTCGGATTGCACCAAAGGTAATCGGTAGCTTGTTTCCAGTCGACAGTTGATTCATAGTTTACCTTGAGGTAGCGATATTCACAAATCTGGAAGAAAGTCAGTTCTAGACATATGAAAGATACAATCAACATACCTGGAAATTGGCGGGTAGTGTAATCCATCTCCTCAGTTCATATCCATACCCAGGTAAAGATGTATTGAGAAATGTAGAGAACTTCCTACGAAAGTCTTGAAAAGCGCGATCAGCTGGGCTACAGGCGTTCTCGATGTCCTGTATAGATACGAGTTGCTGTGGCGAACCGAGTTTGATATGTCCTTGTGCAACAGCCAGATCTAGATTGTCTTCAGCTGTAGTGCCTAGATCAACTTCATTGTCCTTGTGGTTGCGCTGCTCATCAAATGTGTCGACACGTCCTCTCAACAGGCTGACTGTGAATTTATTTTGGTTGACACGAAGAATCTACGGTATTATTTAATTTGATGTGACACGATGTCAGGTATATAGCTCACCTGTTCAGCCACATTCTTTCCATTCGATTGGCACTCATAAGCCTCTTTCAAAGGGCCGTGAAGCTTTTCATTCGGACGTGTGGTGTAGTTGCGCGCTGCACCTTTCATTCAAATATCATGGGTCGCGTGTTTCCATAAATGAACCTTTGGGAAGTTCCAGTCGAGTCTTAGATCTTCAATGGAAGATTCTGCAGCACATTGGACGTAGTCCTAGAGTGAGATACATATTGCTTAACTTCCGTTTTATCAGAGGAAAGAGACCCTACCTTGAGTGCATTATTGAAAACAAGCAATTCAGCTTCGATTGCGTCCAGAGTGCTCATTGTATGTACATCGAGACCAATATAACTGTCAAGCTGCAGATAGCTGCCGATGAGACGAAGCAGTTGGTTCCCTTCTGGGCTATTACTTTGCTTCAAAATGCTCAATGCTGCGTAGAAAGATTGCTTTATAGCAGTTAGATAGAGCAAAAACAAAACAAAATGATACATACTTTAGATAGATCTTGCATCTTATTGCCATCGCTGAACGACATGTGAATAACGGTGTTGAAATGATTGCAGTCGCGCCACCGAGGGAAATTAGCGACCCTGCGAATGATAAGTGTGAGAGCCACAAAATAGTTCGTGCGACTTACTCCTCTTCGAATAACGATTCTGCCTCGCGTCCCAAGGATTTGAGAATCTTTTTCAATTCGTTGAGTAGGTGCTTCCAAAGTCCCAAATGAAGGGCGTGTAAGCGGTCGAGACTGATTGCATCATGGGGATCAGAGTGCGCGACAATCCATAAGACATTCTGGGTATTACATGATTGATGGATGTAAATTAAATAGAAAGTTATATAGCTTACCTTGACAGCGCGCAATCCGAGCGCCTTCAACAGTTCCTCGCCGCGAGCCTTGCTTTCCTCATAGACATCAAGTGCAGTCATCGCATCCTGCATTGATCGCAATCGAAATGACTTCGAGAGATCATGCAGTTCGTCAAGCGGTACAATGCACACTGGACATGGACACTTGCTATGATGGCCATGAATCAGTGACATCATACACCTACAGGCGCTGTTAGATCAAACATGTATCAGTACAATAAATTACGTACTGTTCTTCATAGTCAGCGGAAAGTATCAATATGATGGGAAATAGCCAACGTAGGACCTGGTCGAAGCACTTGTACGAATATCCCGTTTTTGAGTACTGCGCGACCAGTTCCAGGAACTTCACAAACGACTCGTGCCATACGACATGCTTCAAATTGGTGAAACTTTTCTTGCCTTCCTCGCTTGCGTCCTCAGAAACCTGTGATTATTACATTTGTTAATTATTAATATAAACAAGGTGTTATTTGATGAACTTACGATAGGCAGCAGACCAATAACACGACCGCCGCCGATACCCTCACCATTCCGAATTCCTACTGGTAAATTTGCACAACGTACCACAACAGGATACCCTTTAACGGTACCGTGTGATGAGAGTCTCGTCTTGTCGGCGTACACTATGAAGCAAAGGGGGGCAGCAACGAGATCATGCGGAAGATTAGACTAATATCAGTTTACATCAGTGAGTGACATACTCATGAAACAATTGTTACGTACCTGGATGTCCCACCAATGATCGGCTGTCCATGGCTCATCATAGAACTGCTCGAATTCCGTACCGTTATGCTTATAAACGCGTTGTGCGTCCCAAACAAAATGTGGCGCGAGTAAGGGGTTTTCTAATAAATCAAGGGCCCATTCCCATATGGGCAAAGCATGGACCTCATATACACGCTCCTCTCGTTTGTATGGCACAGTGATGTCGTGTTTTGTAAACTAAACGATTTTCTATAACACAGCATTTCAAAAAAGAATCAGTAACATACCGGCGACACCTGAGTGGTAGCGCTACACAATACATTGCGAAAATCAGTATCATTCTTCAGCGTGATTCTAACCTGGCCTGTCGCAATGCGGGCAATCAGAGATAGTAGTCCATCGATTTGTGACTTGTTGAGGGAAGCATCAAGTGTGATTTCCGCAAACTCGAAGTCGCCTTGTGAGGAGAAAGGGCGCCATGGTTCTTCATCAACAGGAAGCCCTTCAGTAGTATCATGTACATCAACACGAAATTCGTTGAACGCTTGGTGCAATGGTTCACGACCACTCGACGGGTGATATTCCGTCTTGAATTCAAGGGGCCGCTGAATAGACGCTACAGGTTCAACAGACCCTGCCTGACTGAAAACTGTACAGGGCGATCAGTTAGTAAAGTTACAAATGATCAATACAAAAAATATACTCGGACTTACCTGGGATTTCAACACTCTCATAGTAGGGCTCGACATTGTCCAGATCAATATCCATGGGATCAGCCAGAAAAGATGCAACTACGAGTGAGTGATATTAGAGGCACACAGAGAGCGAAGAACAAGTAGAAGTACCAGGAGGAATGGAAGAATCTTCGTTTGTGGTGGACTGACCATTATTGCCGGCGCTCTGTGATGGGCCAGCCATTGTTTCAGGAAGCCTCATCAATTTACGAGCCTTCCTTAGAGCTAGATGTTGCCTCGATATTAGATACATACTGGCCAGTGATTGATTGGTAGATAGAATCAACTCACCTCGTTGCTGGTCCTTTTGATACTCGAGACCAAATGTCTCCTGTTCCCTCTCGACATTCACATGCTTCTTGCATGTTGCTTCATGCTTCTTGAAGCCCTGGGGCTTGAACTTTCTGTCACAGTGAGGACATGAGAGCCGCCCTGTAAGTGTTTCTTCTGTATAGTTATACTTGCCTCTAGATGGCACTGCAGCCGCTGCAGTACGAGACGGAGCCATAATAAATTGGATGCGACGACAGTGATAGAGCTTGGTGTGGGCAAAACAAAATGTCTGAATTCTGGTATCAATATGAGGGACCGTAACGCTTAGCATATGTCTTAGAATTGTTCCTACATGCAAGGTAATGGTGTTCTCACGATCACAAGACCTTTAAATTGTCTCACGAAGCCTTGAAAGGTATCTTATAATGTGCCTTTTAACGCATGTGATCAAACTTGTAAGCCGGCAAATCCAACACCCTTACATAAGCATAACCCTAACCCTAAAAACGGCCAAACCTTCGACTTGAAAATTTTCAACAGTTGAGATTGAGAGACTGAAGAAAGATTAGTGACGAGTTTGTTATTAGTACATGTAGTAACACTATATACTGGTGCATTAGGCCTTTCTCAGTGCCTCCTTAACAGAGTCCGAGCTGAGTTTCCGGTGTAATGCTTTGGCCTTCCAGCACCTTTTGACCTTCGTCTTTCCCCTTCGGCAGCAGTATTCTGTGCTTGAAAGAGGATTTCTGAGAATGTGAGAAGTGCTGCTTCATCCTGTATATCTCCCTCTTCTTCCACACTGAACTCCATATCATCTTCAGAATCACTGCAGCTGGAGTCCTCCTCAGAGTCAGAGACATCTTCGACTGTGGCTTTGCGGGACTTGGAAAGTGCAGACTGAATATTTCTGAGACGAGCCTTATTAGCTTTAGACTTTACACCCATCGAGAGATGCTTTATGTGTGTAATATCACTGATTTTTGCTGCCTTCTCCTCCTCGGTCCTGCCCAGGCACATATCACGTGATGTATTATATAAGCGGCCAAATGTTGGTGTGCCGAAAACTTTAAAATCATTCCCTTGCATCCCATGGCCTTATAAACCACTTTCTGACTTTATAGAACAAAATTTTTCGGAGGATGAAAATCTCCTCCAGTTTTGAATATTTTTTATTTCTGCTTCCTGGCAATTCAATTTATGCTACTCATAGATAGTTCCTAGGATCCATATACATTAGAAACAAATATATGTGTCCATAATTTGAGCAATGGCGAGGCTCTCAATGTGCTGATGTAAGCGGTGCTGGATAAGAGTGACGCCTATCTTAGTACTGTCTATGGCAGGTGAGGAGCTTTCCCTTGCTATCACTGCGTGCCATTTTGGGGATGCTTTCAACACAGATGCCGTTTGTTATATCTGGTCTATGCAGTGAGTCCTTCGTACCAATCGGGCTGTCTGTGGTTATGAATATATGCTCTTCGCAGGCGAGCATAACATTACTTCGCGGGGAGGGCCACTGGTGCGCATTGTCGAGGAAGTGGTGAACGCTCGACACTTGCACATGCCCAGCTCTCATGTATTACCTGATATTGTAGGTAGTGTCCACCATAGGGCCCCGCCCCACAGGACAATAAACAAGGATCCAAAATAAAAATAAAAATTGTATTACCTGTCGATTCAAGTTGTTGGTCATGACCATTTTGTTGTGAGCCTACAGAGAGAGACAAGTAACCAGCGTACTGACAGCATTTGGTAGTGTGATGCAATCCAGTCCATCGTTGCACGAGGATTGATTGTCAGGCAGGCTTTTCATTTTGTGTGCTTACCTCGACGTTGGCATGAACAGCTCGACTGTGGTAAGCTCGGGTTCACCTGCTTGGTCATTGTTTGAATTATGTGCCATGCTCAATCTCATAAACCGTCATTGCAGGTGTATTTGGAAAACTAGATCACTCGGGCTATCGATCTCGGAAGGTGGTATGATGATAAACGCCCTCCCGGACTGTCTCCATGGCAGCTGAGGAGGAACAAGGTGTGAGATTGTTGAAAGGATCCACACAGCTACAGTATCTCTAGTGTCCTGATGTCCATCATGTAGGTGATAGAAGTCATGTCTTTAACTTGTGCAATGATATCATGATCCGACGCAATCCTCTTGAATTCTCCATTGCGCTGCCGCGCTAGCAAAAACGCACCAAAAGGCTGTCCAAGGCGAACAATCAATCGCAATGCTCGCGAGTGAGAATCCGAATGAATCGACTCAGTTTGTGCGGGGAGTGAATCGTGCGACGGAGATTCGGGCACAGACCAATCTTCTACATTATGTGTATCGTCCGCAGGGTCATGCAACTCAAGGAGATCGCGACTCCATGGACGGACAAGCAAGATTGTCTGCCAGGGGAGCGCCGGCCTTGCAGGCGAGAATGGGATCAATCTGTCTGCCGTGGTGATCTCCAGGTCATGAAGTCCGTCTGACTTGAGTGCATACGCATATGTGTCCTGGTCTCGTCCTTGTCTCCGCCTTGCTTCTGTGATTGGGAATACGATGCAAGGCAGATGCAACCGGCGATGCGCGAAACGGGGAGCGCTCAGGTGGTCGAGTGTCTGATACAATTCCAAAGCCGACTCTAGAGCCACAACACCTCGCAGCGAGGAGACTGATGTCTGAATCTCATCTTCGGATAGAGATGGCAGCCTGCACGGTGGAGCTTCGTATGAAATAATGTCGGCTGGTAGACAACTATTAAAATCTGATGACTTTCCGACCCAATCCAGGGCAGTAATATCGCCCGACTGAGCTACGATTTCCTGCAGGAGTCGCCCGAGTGCATTCTGCTTCTTCTCGCCATAATCAACACGTAGGCGGACGCCAAAAACGCCTGATAACGAGTATGCGATATCTTCTTGCAACGTGGTAATACGTGTCGACGCCCACTGAAGTTTCTCCCGGGCGTCTCTCATCCCGGGACGGAAGGCTATGACAGCTAGTCGATCTATGCCTGTTGCGTCCTCCAATTCCTGCATGATCGCGACGGAATCCTTGTGGTTGGGAGTGCGATCGTCGAGATAAAGAGTCCAATCCTTCTGAAAGAAGAGAATGACTTTAGGAGCAAGGAATTCTTGAACCGTCCATCCACGGGTGTTCCAAGCGCTATTTGCCAGTGCGCCGGATTTTGACGAAGGTGGAACATCCGAGAGGTATACGACTGTGACCGCAGAATGGTGATACCAGTCGAACATGGACTTGACCGATGCTTGAAGCTCAACATCGTTATTCTTATCAATACAGCATCTATCGCTCCATGCCCAGCGATACCCCAAATCACGAGCAGTTTTGCAGAAGAACTGCAATTTCGTGATGCCGCCAACCGGATCCAACTTGTAGACGACCCTGCCCTTGATATCCTGCAGCAGCGGCTCCTTGCCTTCCCACCTGTGCGACAGCATAGCATATTGGAAGTACGTCCCCACCACTTCTTCGACGTGTTGCATTCGGAGGTCTGGATGGGCAATAATTTTTGAAACGAGCTCCTTGTACTCTAGGCTCGCTTTGAAGATGCGGATCTGCGCCTCTCGATCGCATAAGAGACCGGTGGTGGTGTCGAGTACACGCATCGGAGCATTGTCGAATTGAGCATCAATGCGCTTTCGAATAGCACGGTCTGCTTCGGATGGACTGAGATACTGCTGGCGCAACTCTGCAGAAACAGTTAAAGTATGGTGACGTATAAGGTATTGGGGCTTACTTCGTGTCTCGGTGTCGGGGGTATTATCCAATTTTGAGAGCATCGTTTGGAAGGTCGCAATAGCTTCATCATAGCGTTGTGCACCATGAAATGCTGCATGCTTCAACTTGTATCCAACATGAGACGAAGGGTTGAGTTGGATGACCTGTGTATCACCACAATGAGCATAGGTGAAGAAACAATAAATGCTATCGCACCTTCTGCGCATCGAGAAGTGCGTCCATCCATAGCCTTTTCCCCAACTTTGCCTCACTGCGATTTGCAAAGGCAGCATCGGATAAAGAAGTGAGGTTGATCACCGCCGAGTATAGGTCAATAGCCCTGTCAAAATCGCTTGCAGCGAGGGCATCATCTCCGCTGATAAGAAAGGGCGCACTGCATTCTTCCGTGAACGCTGAGTGAAATGGGAGTGAGGATTGTAGCCTGCGCGACATTACGGACTTCGGACTTGCCGTTGGACCAGTCAAGGCAGTTGGCCTTCGTATATTCATCACTCAATAGCATCATGTATCGGTACGATTTCACGGCATCTTGAAGTTTACCTGCCCGAAGGAGTGCATCACACCGTTTCTGGTGTACAGTGAGCCACAATGATTTGAGGTCCCAGCCGAAGAGCTGGACAAGGGACTAAGTTATTAAAAGTATTTCGGACGTCTATCAACGTACCACCACCAAGTCCTCGTATATCTCATGAATGTCCGATCTCGATGATAGATTGCTGGAGTGGAGAGCGGCAGTGAAATGGTCAGCGGCTTCGTCGTGACGTGCGCCATCCAAGGCTTTTATTCCGAGTTGAACAAGTAGATATGCCTAATGTGCGAGTTGCAAAGATAAGTGTTGATGATAAAGCGTGGATGACACTTACTTGCACGATACGACACGCGAGAGTATCGGCATTCGGACAACCGGCGGCGAGTTCTTTGAGGAGTAAGTTTGCCTCTTCATGTTGATCTGCATTGAAGAGCGCGATGGACTGAAATACAAAATGAAGCAGAGAATATGCAAGGCAACTGTAACACACCTTGATCAAGAGCAGGAAATGAATGGTTTCTGAATCTTGGTTAGTGTACATGGATGCAACATCAAATGCTGCCCTCGCATCCCGGACATGGCCTTTTCCACAGAGGGCAATACCTTTGGAGATATAGCCTGTCAATGAGGGCTGAATGCGGATGGACTATGTCGTCATCAAGTTAGGTTGTTGTAAGACGGCCATGATCACTGCGCAGTATAGCTCACCTTTATTGCATCCTGAAGAGCGTGGTCCCAGTCGTGTTTTCGAGCCATAACAAACGAGCGATGGGCGTAGGAAGTATGGTTGTTCGCATCGGTGCTGACATCTTGTGTGAGTAGTCCTTCAGCGGTAGATAAGTCTCCATCTATGCATGCAACGCGGGCTGTCGTGATGTCCAAGATCTGCACGAATCATGCTCGGTTTTTGGTATATGAGTCAAGGACAGAAACGTGCCTTTGGATGAATGCCCTGAGGTACTGCCAGTGCCCACTCCGAGATCATCTTATCTTTACCTCCGCTGAAGATGTGTTTGCCATCCACCGAGAATGTGATGCATTCCGTGAGAGATGAGTGCTCGAAGATGGCAACAGTTTGTCGATCTGAGAGCCGCCAGAGACGGACATGTTGGTCATCAGATGCGGAGGCGACGAGTGTGCCAGTAGGATGAATGGCAATGGCATTGATGTGGTCAGAGTGGCCGGTTGAAGGAACGCCGACCGGCTGCCAGGTCAATGCATCCCATTCGCGTATGGTAGGATCGTCCTTATTGCCTCCTGTGAGAAGGCGTGTGCCATCGGGCGTCCACGCGAGTGACAAGTTGCGCGATTTATGAGCTTTAAAGGATGCGACACGTTGCCTCGGAGTCATGCCTGTATTATAAATTTGGATGTTGTCGTATGTTGCGATGGCAAGAAGTTCTCCGGACGGCGAATACCGTACGCAGAAGACATGTGGACCACACCTGATTGGATTTCCCTCGTTGCTCCCAGGTGTTGGTGTTCCACAGTTTCATCATTCCGTCATATGCATATGAACCAGTGGCCAGCGCTGTTCCATCTGGAGAAAAATCTAGCGAGGTGACATAATGAGAGTGAGCTTTGAAAGGTTGGGTAAGGAATTCGCCGGTTTCTCCGTGCCAGATAATGACCTCTCCACCAGCATCACCGCTTGCTATCAATTGCCCATCTCGCGATACCGCCAATCCCACCACCCCATTGGTATGCCCCTCCATCTTCTTCAACACAACACCTGTCTTCAAATCCCACAGACGAAGCGTCTTGTCCTCCGAGCCCGTAACCATCCGACGTTTATCGGGAAATACTGCGACTGCCATTATGTCTTGTTCATGGCCTTTGAACTCTCGCAGGGGTGTAGTGATTGGAACGAGCTTCGACATTTTACTGGAGCTTGATAGCATTGAGCACGGTCGAGGTCGGTTTTGGTGCGGTTTAAAATATACGTCACTGCATTCACCTGTCATCTCGTTTCAATAGACGCCCGGACACTTACTGTTCGTCTCCACGCATCCACCACCATTGCCATACCAGCCGTCCTCGACAGTATACCCTCCCAGCGCCTCAGTGCATACATGTGTCCGACTCTTGTCTTCAAAGCTTGCAGAAACGTATCCCATCGCCGCATCCAATTGAGCAGTCGGTGCTTCAAGTTCCCGGCACTCGAATCTATCTGCATGACCACATGAATATCGTTGTTTTTCGTGTCGAGCAGCTATTCTAGCACTCACCATGTCACTCCTTCGAACGCATGCATATAGCTTACTGCAATATCACCCCTTCATCGCGTCGACTCCCAAGACCTGCTTGTGCATCAGATGCAGCCGAAGTTCTCTTCTGGCGTCTCAAACACCAATTCTGTGATTGAGAAGTACTTTGCTTCCAGCGCCCTGCTCATTATTCAGCTCTAATTTGAGCTTCGCCCACTCCCAGCCCAACTGGTTTCAGTTTTTTTTTTTTCATTCGCCAATCCCCTCCTAAGTCCATCATTGGAAACCCGCACTGCACAAGTACCAGTGCAACATGGTCGCTAACCTCGGCGAGCCCTAACCACAGATGCTACCGAGCCATATATTCAAAGGACTGTGATCGCGGGTTGCAGCCCAGTACTTGGGCCTCGAAATTTTCCCGTTACTGTCTGTACCCCAACCACCAGGAACAACAAAATAACCACCCCCGTCACCCTCATCCTGACTCGTCCTCTTACTCCCAATCCCAGTTCCTAAACCTTGCCATATCGAGTTTCCGTACGAATAACTCCACAACATTCACAGCCACTCAGGACAGACGTCACAAAGGTCACGAAATCAATCTTAGTAACCCCTGATACAACCATCCATAGGTCAAAACATATCACCTAGCGGAGAACAAAGGACTCGGACTCGCCTGCACGACCGTATCAACACGCAGGATCTTCTAATTGTACCGGTTGATACAAATTGTCACTGTGTTTCAGTAATTATTTGCTGTCTGGGCTTGACCCGTTCCACAGGAGATTGTTGTGAGCGTAAAATGACTCAGATGAGCGAAGGACTCGTGGCCGGATTTTTATCACACTCACTGGCAATATGACGGGAAAACAACAGAAGCCGCCCCGAGATGATATTCCACCTCGTATGTTAGTAGTCAAAGGGGACATGCTGCATGACCGTCTCGTCAATAGGCGCACGATAAATGAAGATAGAAGATAGTAGTTCCTTCTCACAATTTAAAGAAGCTAATAGAAGTGGTTGCAGGTTGTTCTTGCCTTGCTGACTTTTTTCCCTCGGTCTTTAACTACGACATTGTCGTGTAGTATCCCAGAGTTGCGGTTCGTTGGCCATGGAATCCTCCAGTGATAATCAAAAATCATGCAATACATTGGCCATGACCGATTTCTCGGTGATTCTACAATTCAATGGGTAACCCAAACATTAACGAGGGGTCGCCAGGCATGTTTCGAACACTTTCGTGGATGTCGTCGTTGGTAATGGGATTCAAGGCGAGGAGGTTTGTGTTGTTTGAAAGTACACCAACAATCGTCAAGAAGCTACAACGGGATTCCTGTTTGAAGAAAGGAACATAAATGGCCAATTTCCAAGGGGAGATGTGAGAAGGTTAAAGGGCAATATCAACAGTGTTTGTGGTTCTCAATCATAACATGTATACCGGCCGTCACTTCTGTCTACCTGAACAAGCTATGCAGACAGGGGTGGCCGAGGATATACAGACAATTGATAAATGGCATGGGACGAGCCTGTGTATCTTCGTTGGAATTATGCGGAAATTGAAGAAGACGAGAACTTCTTACTTGTGGACTTGGATGACGAGTCGACTCGGACATGGAAATGGGATGAACAAACTGACAAGTATAATATGAGCTGTATGTATAGAAGATCTAACGTACGTCATACTTCAGCACCAGCAAAACCTGTTCCGTATATCAGTCTGGCGATGAAACGAAGGAAGACTAGTACACACCTTTCATTGAAAAACCATTCGACATCTCGCGTCTCCCCTCTACCATACCATTTAATCATTGGCAATCCACGTGTTCGTTCGTACTTCTTCCCATCTTCATTTCCCTCTCCCTCTGCCAGACCATCCAAGTCCCTTGGTAAGTTCCATACCTCCACCTTTTCTAGCCCTGCGCTCCGGGCTGCTTCTTTGATCTTTTCAAGCAGCCCCGGAAACGTTTCTCTCGTCGCAGCCAGGCGTGTCACGATCAACGTCGGCGTAGACCACATATTCGCAGCCACGTTGCATACGTCGCCCACCTCTCATCACCAGTGATTTCCTTTCTTATTCCCCACACCTTCAGTGGGACCGCATGTCCAGATACGAGCAGCGAGCGCACCACTTGGAACGAACCAACACCCCTGTCTGGCAGAGCCGATACAAATGCCGTGGTACTCGGCGTCTCATACGAGGTATCAGACCTCGGCGTGCCCTCCAAGCTATTCTTGATGAATTCCGCGTCTTCTGTCCACATCTCGTCCAAATACCCTTCCTCCACCCACTTCCATCCAGGTGACTCCTCAACCCTCCTCGGAGCTTTCTCCATCTGACCTCTGACCTCCCATGCCCAAGACCACGGCGCCCTAACCTCCCACCCACCGCCCTTACCCTCTGCCTGTACCCCCGCATCCCCGTAAAAGTCCTCCCCCACCGCACTGTACAATACCGAAAACGCAGCTCCACCCGCACCGTCTACTTTGGGTGGCGGCACACCCCACTCCTTTGGAAACTCTACAAAATCATCACAGGAAGATATCACCCAGTGCAAGAGGCGCATCATATGCTGCCCGTATCCTTTCCTCCGCTTCACCTCGGGTGTGTACACGCTAGCGATCCCATAGCACGGCGCCTCATTTACTTTGTTTGGGCCATCGGGGGAAGGATATGCGACAAGCCCTGTGCGTTTGTACCTGGATTACAGTGAGCACGACCCGGATTGCCATTCGGATCCAGTTGGCTTACGTCTCGCACGCACACATAAAATCAAGCGTCGTGGGGTCGGTCTCTTGGCGCAAGTACCCTTTACCATATGATTGTAAGATAATTCTGATCGATCTCAATTCCAAGGTCATACCAGGTAGTCATCCTTCCATCTCGCGCGTGTTCCATTTCGTCCATACGTTTGTAATGTTGGAGGTATTGCTCAAGTGTGGTACTACCGCCCCAGTGAGGCCATGTACGCTCGCGCGTCTCCAGCACTTGTGCAGGCGTTGCTGGGTATAGCGAGAGTGCGGCGAGATCATGGGAAGGCATGAAGGAGGAAGACAAGTATATCTGATCAAGCTGTGCTTTCGTCTAACTGGATGGAGGGGCCCCTTGATCCGATGTGCTTGATCAATCTATTAGTGTCCCACCTCGATCTTATTACTTCCGCTGCTTTTCCACCACAACCCGAGCTGCCAGCAAGATATATGTTCCTGCCTTGATCGAAGCGAGTACTGTTGCACGAAGTCAAGTAGAAAGGGAAAGTCAATCAGGCCTAGGGGGCCTTTGAATGAATCAAGCTTTAGGAGGTGGTCGTGAACGCAGGATGGCGGGACATATAGGACTGAGAAGTACTGCCTAATGCATAGGTCTGCATTGAAGGAGGGTATAGATATCTGGGCATGCATTTACGTGGTAACAGTGCGGATATTATTGTGAAAGCACAAACGAATATTGGTCAGAGATGTCTGGCCTTAAAACACAGCTAGAGTATTTCTACGGTACCGATGTCCATGTTATCAATGGAAGCAATGTCTTTGATTTGTACAATGATGTCATGGTCCGACGCGATCCTCTTGTATTCTCCGCCACGTTGCTGCGCTAGCAAAAATGCGTCGAAAGGCTGTCCGAGGCGAACCATCAACTGCAACGCTCGTGAGCCAGGGTGCTCTTCAACAGGCAAACCGCCGGGGTAACTTGTCAGAGTCGTCCATTTGGGAGTGGTCCGTTGGGGACCCGGGCTCGGTCCAATCTCCTATGCTCTCCATATCGGCTGTGAAGTCAGGCTCCTCTGCAAAGTCAGGTATTCTGAGGAGATACCGATCCCATGGGCGGACAAGTAAGAACGTCTGCCGAATTGGCTTTGCCCGCGAGAACTGAACTAGGGTCTCTTCAGTGGTGATCAGCAGGTCGTGAAGTCCGTCTGCCTTGATTGCATGCGTAATGGGGGCTAGACCGCGCCTCCGTCTAACTTCCGTGACTCGGAATGAAATGCAAGGCAGATGGAGTCTGCAGTTTGCGAAGCGAGGAGCTCTTAGCTGTTCAAGCTGGTCATAAAATTTCAATGCTAGATCTGTGGGGACGACTTGTTGCAGCGAAGAGACTTGTGTGTGAATATCATCTTCGGACAAAGATGGAAGGATGCGTGGAGGAGTGGCGTAAGAGGTGATATGGGCTGGAAGACAGCTATTGAACTCGGAAGATTGTCCGATCCAGTCGAGGACAGTGATGTCGCCCGACCGAGCCACGATCTCCTGCAGGAGCCGCCCGAGCGCGTTCTGCCTCTTCTCGCCATAGATTACAGGTAAGTGGACATCGAAGATACCAAACAAAGAGTATGCAATGTCTTCTTGCAATGTAGTGACGCGTGACGATGCCCATTGAAGCTTCTGTCGTGCATCGCTCATCCCTGGACGGAAGGATATCAGGGCCCGTGCATCTATGCCCGTCGCATCCTCCCATTCCTTCATTATTGCTGGGGACTCTTTGTGGTTGGGAGAGCGATCGCCGAGATATAACGACCAATCCTTCTGATAAAAGATGACAACTTTCGGAGCGACGAATTCTTGAAAGGTCCATGCTCGTTGGTTCCACACACTCCTCGCCAGTGCACCGGGCTGGGATGAAGGAGGGACATCGCCTAGGTAGACGATGGTAAGCGCTGAGTGGCGATACCAGACGAACATGGAGTTGACCGATTCTTGAAGCTCAGTATTGCTCCTCTTGTCGATGCAGCATGTGTCCATCCATACCCATCCATACCCAGCATCACGAGCGATTTTGCAGAAAGATTGCAGTTTCGCGATGCCACCAAGTCCATTCAACTCGTACACGACTTTGTTCTGGATGTCGTGCAGAAGCGCCTCCGTCTCTTCCCACCTGTGTGATAGCAGGACGCAGCGGAAGTACGTCCCCACTACGTCTTTGATGCGCTCCATTTCGAGGTCTGAATGCTTCGTTGTGAATGACAAAAGCTCCTTGTACTTTGCACTCGTTTTGAAGGCGTGTAATTGTGCCGCTCTGTCGCACAAAAGACCCGTGGAGGTGTCAAGTAGACGTAGCGGGGCATACTCGAGTTCGATCCAAACAGCTCTTTGAATAACGTCTTCTGCTTGGGATGGAAAGACATACTGCTGACGCAGTTCTGCAGAACGAGATAGACATTTCGAGACGATGCAGGAGTATTCCATGGCTTACCTCGTACCTGCGCGTCGGGAATATCGTCCAACTTGGACAACATGATCTTGAAGGCCTCGATGGCTTCGTCGTAACGTTGCGCGCCGCGCAGCGCTGTATGTGTCAACTCGTATCCAACGTGAGACGAAGGATTGAGTTCGGTGACCTATGCATCGCCGAGGTCAACATGGGCAACGAAAACATAGACGCCAACACACCTTTTGCGCGTCGAGGAGTGCGTCCTCCCATAGCATTTTACCTAACTTTGCCTTGCTGCGATTTGCAAATATGACATCGGATGTATAATCCAGGTCGATCGCCCCCGAGTATAGATCGATAGCCTTGTCATACTCGCTCGCAGTGAGGGCAGCATCTCCATTTACAACGCAGAGTGCGCTACATTCTTTCTTGAAATCTGAGAGAAATGCAGGTGAGGATTGTAGCCTGCATGACATTGCAGACTCTAGACTTGCCATTGGACCAGTCGAGGTGGTCGGTCTTAGCATTTTCGTCACTCGAAACCATCATGTATTGGTATGATTTCACGGCGTCTTGGAGTTTACCTGCCCGAAGGAGTGCATCACTCCGTTTCTGGTGTGCAGTCAACCAGAAAGATTTGAGATCCCAGCCGAAGAGCTGGATAAGGGACTCAGTTATGAAAAGCACTTCAAATGTGTATTAACGCACAACCACCAAATCCTCGTACATGAAATGAATGGGTGATCTCGATGAGAAAGCGCTGGAGTTGAAAGCGGCAGTGAAATGGTCAGTGGCTTCGGCGTGACGTCCGCCATCCAATGCTTTGATTCCGAGTTGAACGCGTAGATATGCCTTATGTGTGAGTTGCAAAGATCAGTGTTAATGACCAAGCATGACTGCGTGATACTTACTTCCACGGTATGACATGCTCGAGTATCGGCATTTGGACAACCGACAGCAAGTTCTTTGAGGAGCAGGTTTGCCTCGTCATGTTGATCTGCATTGAACAGCGCGATGGACTGGATTGCGGAATAAAGCAGAGAGTGTGCGAGGCAACTGCAACATACCTTGATCAAAAGCAGGAAATGAACGGTTCGTGAATCTTGGTTAGTGTACATGAATGCAACATCAAATGCTGCCCTCGCATCCCGGATGTGGCCTTTTCCGCAGAGGGCGATTCCCTTGGAGATATAGCCTATCAATGAGGGCTGCATGCTGATGGACTATGTTACCATCGAATTAGTCTTTCGTAAGGGGGCCATGATCAGTGGGTATATGTCACCTTGATTGCATCCTGAAGGGCGTGGTCCCAGTCGTGTTTTCGGGACATAACCAATGAGCGATGGGCGTAGGAAGTATGGTTCTCATTGTTGCTGATATCTTGTGTGAGTAGTCCTTCAGCGGTAGATAAGTCACCATATATGCATGCATCGCGGACTGTTTTTATGGCTAGTATCTGCACAAAACATGCTCGAATTGTAGTATGGGTCAAGGACGGAAACGTGCCTTTGGATGAATGCCCTGAGGTACTGCCAATGCCCACTCCGAGATTATCTTATCTTCACCTCCGCTGAGGATGTGCTTGCCGTCCACCGAGAAAGTGACACATTCCGGCGAGGACTCTGAGTGCTTGAAGGTGGCAACGGTTCGTTGATCTGAGAGCCGCCAGAGACGGATGTGGTGGTCATCAGATGCGGAGGCGATGAGCGTGCCAGAGGGATTAACGGCAAGGGCAGATATATAGCCAGTATGACCCGTCCATGGATCACCGACCTGCTGCCAGGTCAATGCATCCCATTCGCGTATGGTAGGATCAGAATTATCGCCGCCTGTAAGAAGGCGTGTGCCATCGGGCGTCCACGCGAGTGAGAGATTGGATTCTATGTGAGCGTTGAAGGATGCGACGCGTTCCCTCGTGCCTGTATTATAAATTTGGATATTGTTGTCTGTTGCGATGGCCATGAGTTTTCCAGACGGCGAATACCGTGCGCAGAGGACATAATCTCCACACTCAATTGGATTTCCTTGTAGCTCCCAGGTTTGGGTGTTCCACAGTTTCGTCGTTTTGTCTGCTGAACCAGTGGCCAGCATTGTTCCATCAGGAGTAAAGTCCAGCGAGTAGATCCAATCGGAGTGGGCTTTGATGGGTTGGAAGAGCGATTCTCCAGTTTCTCCGTGCCAGATGATGACCTTTCCTCCAGTATCACCGCTTGCTATCAATTGCCCATCTCGTGATACTGCCAATCTCCACACTCTACTGCAATGCCCCTTCATCATCTTCAACACAACACCTGTCTTCAAGTCCCATATACGAAGTGTCTTGTCGTCTGAGCCCGTAACCATCCGTCGTCTATCGGGGAACACTGCGACAGCCATTACGCCACTTTCATGGCCTTTGAACTCTCGCAGGATTGTAGTGACTGGATTGTGTTTCGACATTTTACTGGAGCTTGATGGCGTTGGGCGCTGTCGAGGTGGACTTTTAAGGTGTTGTGGATCTCTTGCTATGGCAAGCTGCAAATACAATAGACGCCCAAGACACGGGGCTGTTCGACCTCATTAGCGATCCCAGCCCCTCGGATGCGTGATGGAGACGAACAGCCCCGTGCCTCAGTCCAATTGAGCAGTCGGTGGTTCCCAGCCCTCGAATCTGACCATGTATCCTGCAGGAATGCATGAATATCGTGGTTTTTCGTGTCGAGCAGCATCCGATGTCACTCCTTCAAACGTATGCATATAACTTACTGCAATATCACTCCTTCATCCCGCCTCCTCCCAAGACTTGCTTGTGCACTGGATGCAGCCGAAGTTCTCTCTGGTGTCTCAAACTCGTCACCAATTCTGTCACGGAGCACTTTACTTCCAGCGCTCTGCCCGTGTTTCATCTCTACATTGAGCTTCGCCCACTTCCGGCCTAACTGGTTTCAGTTCTCTCATTCGCCAATCCCATCCCAAGTCCATCATTAGGATCTCGCACCACGCAAATACCAGTGCAACATGGTCGCTAACCTCGACAAGCCCTCACTGCAGATGCTACCGAGCCCTGCGGTCAAAGGACTGTCATCGCGGGTGTTTGGGAATGTCATCTACCATGGAATCAATAATAGTCACACAGATAGATGCGAATGGATGCATGGCGTGCGATTAAATTGAATACATATTCATGCGATGGCGTGGGCTCAGTCCGCGTTATCTACCCTCCAACGAGTCTCCCTCCTCTTCTAACTGTATGGTCAGCTCTTCAAGCCCGGAAATTCTGCTCCGCAGAAGGGTATGCACGCGTTCACGCACACCATCAGTGTCAGGATGTTTGTGTGATGAAAGCGCGAGCTGGATGTGGATCGAACCAATGACGTTTGCTGAGTCTTTGGGCCAGAATTGGGGAGATGAGTAAGAGGCAACGCCATCTACGAAGGCAAGCTATAACGGGAAGCGGGTGGTCAGAGTAATTAGGTGAGGAGAAATATGTAATACCTCAGAGAGAGCTTGTTGAACTTCTCTCTCGCGGGTCCCCATATCAAGGCTCAGGACCCTACCTGTGTCGATTACTAGCGGTATGACACTTGCAGCGATCATGACCGCGATGAACAACGACGCTATAGGATCGAATATCGTCCATCCATAAAATTGGATGAGGAGGGTCGAAATAATGACTCCAACAGAACCGAGCGTGTCCTGTAAAGGTCTATCAATACCGGCACAAAAATGCCTGACAAATGCTCACCGCCATAACATGCAAGAAAACGCCACGCATGTTGTCACTGTGTCCTTCGTGATGGTGTCCGTGTTCATGTTCGTGACAGTGATCATGATTATGGTTATGATCGCGTGGGCTGTGTTCCGAAGACTCCATCCCATGGTGGTAGTGGTGGTGATGGTCATGCTTTAAAGTGCTAGGGTAGCTGGGCGAAATTGGTGAGTCTACGCCACTGGGGGAAGACAGGGGAAATGGAATGGCAGATGCGACTTGGGTGCCATCAGTGGGTATATGGAGGGAAGGACCTCGAGAGTGAGGCTTACGGCCACGTATTGAAGAGCCCTCGTGATCCGTGGGCAAAGGCGAAGGGGAAGGATGGGTATGTGCATGATCAGAGTGTGAATGCGAGTCTGAATGAGAATGAGAGTCATGGTCCGAGCAAGAGGATGTGTGATTTGAAGAGTGCAAATGTGAGGAGTGGTTGTGTGCATGCGAGTCTTCATGGGATAGCGAAGACTGCAGGTGTTCACTGAGTTTGGAAGCCGCGGGGCCATGCAAATGGGCACCGACCGAGTGAATGTCATGTTCGTGGGCATAGTCACCATGAGCATGCCCATTGTGTGATTGATGCTCATGTACATGTCCGTGATTATGAGAGTGACCCTGTGGCGTTGTTGAGGTTAGAATGTGACAAGCCAGTGGGAGTATTTTAACGAACGTGATGGTGATGGCCGCCCATAGCATACATGCCAAACAAGTTAACACCAAGTCCGAGGGAGCTGATTAGTAGCAGCTGGTTCGTCGTCATTTCCGGAGGGTCCAATCTACAAGGAGTTCACATTTAATAGATCATAATCCTCGATCGAACAGAAACGTACATTCGTTGTACAGCTTCAAAGACAATGAAAACAGATATCAGGATGAGGAATATTCCGTTGGCAAATCCTGACAAAGTTTCGATTCGACCGTATCTGAAGGAGGGCCAAATCACTGCGTGCGCCAGTTTGACACAAGGCATAGTCTTACCCGTACGTGAATCGTTCATCTGGAGGCCATTTAGCCATGATCGAGGCTAGTAAGCCGACACCAATAGCCAAGCAATCAAAAGCCATATGAATAGCTTGAAGAGGATTCATCAGCACGCAGAAACCCCATCGTCTTTCAACTCACCATCAGAGATGAGACCCAGGCTGTTTGTCCAGACACCGTATAGCATCTGAACTAACATGAAGGCCAGATTCAACACGAGGAAATAGAAAATCTTTCTCGACTCAGGGTCCGAAAGTATCGAGTTCAAATAGAACCGCATAACTTTTGACATTGGAGTACGCGATGGGCCAGACAGTGTAGGATCGTTATCAGGATATATCGCTATATAAAAGAAGGTAAGAATCGGATATTAAGAGCATGCGGAATGAATGCTGACAATAATAGAGTATCACCCCCACTAGTAAATCGGTCCAATGTGGGTGCTGTGAGAAACCAAGGAAACCCATGGCAGTCGCAATAAGGAAGGCGATCGGGTAGGAGACCAAGAACATTTGAGAGGTCTGGGTAATGTTGAATTGCATGCCAATTGTGTCCGGCGTCAGAAATATCATGGTATATGCCAGAATTGGAAGGACTGCCAATGAGGTTAGAGGAACAATAGGTATTGGCGGAAAGTCAAGCTAAAAGGATAGAGTAAGATCGTAACAGAAGACCTGAATGTGAAGCACATACGAGGGCTTGTCTGAAGGCGTAAAGCGGGAGCCCAACAAGCGCCGCACCGAGTGTACTAGCAGCAGTTGTCAAGATGGGGTTCACAGTTGGAGCCAAGACACCACGAAGACGTTCAAGAGCATAAGTGGATATCCCATGCATAACTAAGGCTCCATAACCAGGAGCAATGATGGAGACGCTGCGCTTAGACAAAAGTGCATCAGAAGCAAATGAAAGTAGAAACGACAAGAAAGTCAGGATAGGTTTCCATATCTGAGAGGCCTCATGAACAGAACGTTTTAATTGTGTGGAGCAGACTGACCGAAGCGGGGGCTATGAAGGAGTCCACCCACATTGCGGAGAAATGACTGAACAACATTACCCTGCATAAAAATGAGTCCCGATAATCCCATGGTTCATTATCAAGAAATAGCATACCTCGGAGAGGGAAGACGATACAATGCTGTAAATAGGGCTGCTTGCTGCACGAAGAGTAGCAATGACGACACGCCAATTGCCGTCCACTGAGCATGATCAAGGGTCAAGACAGAAAGTGCTAAATTCTCGTACACGTACCTCTATATTGCTATTCTTCATGAGCTTCCCCGTAAAAGCTTCCCATGTTAGCATACCCAGACCGCCACAGCCCAACACCCTCATAAGTACCCAGAACACTCCCACATCATACGAGAGAAGTAGCTCTTTTGCTGCATAGAGCGCCAGCACGAAGATGACATTGGAGGGTAGTATGATTGGTATGAGTCTGTTGCTGATTCTGGAATGGCTTTCAGGAGTGAGATATCGACACGCATACTGACCAACTCACGATCCAGTTAGCACTCTGGCTGGTTTCAAGCTGATTTTCCGACGCGTTCGGGCATCTGGGGGAGACATCCCGGGGCAGCGTAAAAGACCGTGAATATTCTAATAAGTATCAAACTCTGAAACGGTTAAACCAGCGCGTTTCGAACTCGTTTGTTCTCGCATTAATAGAATCCACAAATCAAGAAGAGTTTTCCCACAACTGCTACTTAGTTTGCTCATGTTTGGTCTCCCATATAATTGAAAGATTTTTCTTTTTTTTCACTCAAGTTCAACGTCCATCACGGTGAGTCCAAGTTCAAAGCTATGTTTCTTTTGGATGAGCCCTTTAGATGACGAGTCTGAATCTGCTAGCGTGCGGTTTCCTCACGACAGTACCTATGACGAGTCTTTCAAATTTTACCATTCATGCATATCTGATATTTTTCGCTTTTCTTGTCGAGCTCTTGCAAATGCATCTTACTGACGAGAACTTATCCCAGATTCCACCATCGCAATGCCCTCTGCTGTCGATGATGATTGGTCTGATTCCGATGATGAGATCGGTTCAGAAGTAGAGACGGCGGTGTTGCTAGGCATCCCCGATGGCATAGTGGAGACTGAGACTGATATCAAGGATGCTGCGGTTTCTCGCATTGGCGGGCATCCTGTACGAGCATGTCTCTTCGATCATGTACGATCAACCTGTCAATGCAGTTTACTTGATTTTTTTCAAGGCAATGTTGCCTTCGAGAGAACCCTCATTCTCTTCATCTCAATGCAAGATCTGTTCGTATCCCATGGAATTACTTGTACAAGTCTGGTGCCCACTCGAGGACAGTCCTATGGATAGAGCATTGTACATCTGGGGATGTTCCCGAAGTGCATGTCAAAGAAAGGATGGGAGGTAGGTCTATACTATCCCGTGAAGAAATGGATTGTCATTCTCGATGAACTCTGAAATAGCGTTCGTGCTTGGCGAGCTCTGAGATACAACGTAGAGTATGCGGCGAAGCTCGCAAAAAAGTTGGCGAAGAAGCAAGCGCAACAGAAGACGACTTCACCTGTGAAGACTGCACCAACAACCAACCCGTTTTCAGTTGAGTCAAACTTGTGCGATATGCGCACAGTCACTTATTCAATTGTCAGATGCAGGCGGGATCTGCTCCTAGTCATTTTGGATTGGGTGATCACATTTTCGGACAGCCAGCTCCCATAGTCGCTGCCCCCGCGATTGAAGACGAGCCAGAGGATACAAGTGACGTGGAAAGCGTCACATCCGAATCTTCCGCACAATCATTAATTACTGCGATAGCATCAACCACGATTGATGATTCACCATGGCGGGCTGCTCCGTCATTTCCTCCTCTGTACCTTTCAACGACCTCGGAATATTTACCTCCTCCGCCCAAGACCAAAATCTCTCAGAGTACCCGTATAGAGGATCCTGCAGATGACGATTCTAAAGACGGAAAGGATGTGAGCTGGGCATTCGAACCATACGAGAACTCCTTGGAGGTGGACGGTATATTTGATCGGTTCACGAAGCGAGTGAGCAACACAGGAGAACAATGTCTCAGGTTAGCCTAAACTCAATCTTTCTGTTCGATTAACTAATTTTTTGAGTGTAGATATGAACTGAAAGGCATCCCCCTGCCTTTTTCTTCGGATAAAGTGTTCGACAGATTATTCCCTGTCCCTCATCAGGACCCCCTCCCAGTGACAAAGGCTACTTTCAAGGTCGTCCCTGCTGTTAGACGTTTATACAGCACTGTATCAATACCCCCGTGCCCGGCGTGCAAGGCCGCGCGCGTCTTCGAATGTCAACTTATGCCCAACCTGATCAACGTGCTCAGGACCTCGATCAAGGATGAAGACGCGCAGAATTTGACAGACGAACAAAGGATGAAGGTGGTACAGGAAGTGCTGCAGAAAAAGGCTACGTCTGATAAGCGAGGTATGGAGTGGGGCACTTGCATGATTTTTTCGTGTGAAAAGGACTGTTGCCTTGATGACGACGGTGGTGACAAGGAATGTTGGAGAGAAGAGTTTGTTCTCATTCAGTGGGACGACTGAATGTTAAGAAGTATTGTATATTCCCGGTCTTGATTACTTTGCAACACATGCATTTGATTGATCCTGCTTGTCGGGTCGTTGAGGACAATAATTGAATCACTTAAGCGTGATGGGGATAACGTTATTTGTTTTCTTGTTCGTTGTTTCATGTTGCTCTTATATGGACCCTATCGTTGTTGATTGACTGCTAGCAGCACTTCCCCGGACGCAGAGATTAGCTTAATCTCATTCCTCGCTTTCGGGCATTCCTTGCCTTGTATTCCTCACCATTCACTTTGACGCCCTCTAGTGATGCCGCCAACGCTAACTCTACCTCCCGCTGTTATCTTTGAGTCTGACGATTTATCTGAATCTGGTTCAGTCTTAACCAGCCAACGATTTCCCCACACCCGTGCCCAATTATTAGCTATAATCCGCCAGCAGAAGGGCGGTGCAGACGGCTTTGATGGAGATGGAGACGTAGATGAATCAATCCGCATCAGCACCTCTTTTGTGACGAAAGTAGCAGGATTTCTTGCTAACGAGCAAGAGGATGAACTTAAAGAATCATTGAAAACTACTTGTGGGGTAGAAGACGACATGGTTAGCTCGCGAGATGCCTGCTCTTGCCCCTTTTTGCTGATCTTCTGTATTATAGCTTGAACAACATGTCTTAGATTTGATGCATAGACACCACGACGATGTAGCAGGCGTGCCTTTCCTTTTCTTGACTCCAACACGACGGCCATCTCGACCCTCTTCTCGCGCTTCCACCCACTCTGCTGCTCGGCTCATCCCAAACAGGCCAGATACCCCCACTTCAGTACCCAACTCTCCTCTTGCTATTGGTTTTCGTAGGCCACATACACCTGCTGGTTCCCCTCTTGTAACTGGAAGCGCAAACTCATGCATGACTGCACGTAGCGTTTCACCAATGAACTCGCCAACACTCGCGCATGCACAAGCACAAGCACATCCGCAGTTCACTTCGAGCCTTCCATCCTCACCAATATCCTCTCCTCGACTTTTGAGTGCAAAAGCAACTGAATTCAAGCCCATTCCCCGGCCCCTATCTGCAGCTGCAGCTTCGTCCGCCCCCGGAACCCTTTCTGGATATAGAACCGAGACACCGTCTCCTGACCTGTGGTCCCATAGCCAGCTCAGAGCAACTTCTAATCTTGCCATCGCCGCGCCGTTGATGCCGGGTGATTCTTTGCAGCCCAGAGCTGTAACTCCAAGCTCCCTCCGCTCGTCTCTTAGGCCAGGAGAGGAAGACGAAGAAGATGACCCATTCGATCCCTTTGCGCCCAAGACAGCATCCAACTCCTTCCATCCAATTACAATCACCGACTTTGACCAGTGGATGGACAGTACCCCCAATCTCACCCGATGATCCACTTGCACAAAGTTACTACCAGCATGGCTATGACTATGACCCGCAGTTCGATGGATCGGTCGACGACGCGGAGGGGACAGGGTACTTGACAGATGGGATGACACCTCTTGATGTGCTTAGCTCGGTGTTTGGATCCACCCTTGCGCCATCCGAGCTTGAAGATGCACTTTCTCAGAACGGCTATGACTTCGATCGTGCTATGGCATGGCTTGTTGATCGCGCTCTACCTTCTCCACCTCAGCACAGCCAACCTCGTATGCAGTCCATGGGAGGACGAGTGACATTAGTGGCTAGGGATGGCAGCGCCGGAGTAGTGCATGGGGGGCGCGGAGGCTTCCAGCCCGCTCGAGGTTCTACCAGAGGCAATGGACGGCCCGTCTCCGGCGGAAATAGGGTTTGCCGCTATTACCTTGCGGGCGAATGCTTGCGAGCCGATTGCCGCTTCAGGTTTGTTGGCTTCCTGTTCTTTTGGATTATGTCCACCTCATCTTCATTCGCAGCCATGATCTAGAGAGAGCGCTCTGCCGGTTCTGGTTGCGTGGGACCTGCGCCAAACAAGATCAATGTGAATTTTTACATCACCTTCCTAAAGACGTTGATGTGGCCAGTGTGACTGGGGCACTGTCACGGACTAGTCTCAGCAACTCTAGTACCCGTACTACAAGCCCTCCACCTGATGAATTCCCAGCCCTCGGATTTGATGCTTCTCGTAATCGGAGAGGTTATGGCGCCCGTGATGGTCATTGGCAACACGATCCCGGCCGCACGAGATTTGCAGCAGCCGTAAAGAGACCAGCTCCTGCTCAAGTGCCGGTGGACCGCACAACGGCTACTCGCCCGCCAATCTCATCGAATGCATCCGTGGATAACTTGCACATCCGCACCTCGATCGTGGCGCCAAAGCCATCACCCTCGTATCAAGTTACATCCACCGGCGCTATTGCCCACGCTACCTACTGGGGAATCGATCAATGCTTTATATATGTCCTATCGATCTCGAGCACTGCAACTGGGTGCCGCTCGGAATGCGTGCTTATCCCGGGCCGCCGATGCATGGAGACGTGGCGACGGTGCCGCAGCCAAACGATTTAGCAGGGAGGGTCACGATCTCAATGCTAAAATGGGCAATGAGATGACGACAGCGGCTAGTAAACTCGTCAGAGAACGTGCAAAAGTTGCCGAACAAGCTGTGAAGAGCCGAGACCTTGGTTGGTCTGATGATGCCGGAGATCGAACTGCCCGTGGCCGAAGCTGCGGGGGAGGTTTAGGAGTATGTCTAGGCATAGCCAGCACCACCACAGGCGGTGATTCGAAATTGACGTCAGAAGAGAGAACTGAATCTATGCTCGATCTTCACGGTTTACATTCGAATGAGGCAACAGATGTTCTCGAAGAATTTTTGCTTGCTGTGAGTACCTCATGTGACAGTCAGATGATCGTTTAATTAATCTCAATTTCAGCTCGAGCGGGAACATTTCCTTGGTCTCGGTAGGCGTTCTCTTGTGGAGCTAGCACCTATACTCATTTCTATGTTTCAGCTTTCCTTATTGTCGGAGAAGAAAAGCACACTGGAACACAGGACGCAGCACGTGGTGCCTCGCGGGCTCGCCTCGCTTCGGGCGTGCGAGAATGGCTTCATCGGTGGGGTTATCCTTGGAGTGAGCGCGATGGCATCATATGTGTAGACGCTCTTACTCACGGATGAGGACGTTGGTGTAATATCCACACCACCGGAGCCGGGGGAATGAGCCTTTTGCTAAGACTGGTATTTGCTTTGAAATGGAATGCTGTGAAGGATAATGTGTTATTAAGCAGATCTATTGAAGGTTGTATGATTGTACAAACAAGGACAGAAAATGTGATTTTATCTTTTCCCATCCGTGTCATACCGTTCCATTGGACACTTACAAACGGATACTTAAAATTGCCTGAACCCCGTAACGATGCGCGCCTATGCGGACAGTTTATACTTATCCCTCACTTCTAATTGATCGAGTCCGGAGTCACCACTGCTGCCGAAACCAAGAGCCCTTCTACATTGATGGTGAGTCTTTTCCACTGTTAACCAGACGACAAGAAGCGCTGAGCTTGAAGACAGTTACCAATATGCTAGCTATGCGATCCTGCTTGTAGGAGTCACTTTGTCTGCTAAGTGATATCACATCGGAATCCCAGCACGCTCCCTTCCCGCCTGGTACAAATGTTGGAATCTCGTTACGTGGGTCGCGTACCAAGTTTATCCGTCACACAGCCATACATCAGCAACGATCATCTGCGATGTAGAGTCCCACCATTTTGGGGATCCGTGGTCAGACAGCGAGCGGTATCTGCTAGGCCCTATCGGGACCCTAACAGCCCTTTGCATTTGACTGACATTGTGACATATGAAGACCTGTAGGATGTACTGAAATGGGATAGGTGAGTGTATTTTCTCCTGGTTTATAATACACTCATCTTGCATGGCTGAATCTCGTAAGAACGAGATCTTACTCTTCTTCGTGAATTACTTTCACAGTTGTGCATTTCTCTCATTCTGTGATAAAAATGTTTGCTCCCCTTCTACTTTCCAGCTTATTCATAATTTGTTTTTTATGTAGGACAAGGACTCGCCTTCGGTCTTTTATAGGTATGATTGTTGATATTGAATCCGTCATAGTGCCAGAAATTGTTTTTATCAATCTGATACCTGCTTCCGTTTTGAATTTGAAGGCTGACAACGCCGTGAAATGAAGCAGAGGTCGCCATGATGCGGCGCAAAGAGCTGCAAAATGGAGACGGAGCATGGATGCGCAACAACACAGCATGTCGCAGCAGACGGAAAGAGCTGTCAGAAAGAGACAGAACGCAACAACACAGCATGACGTGGTGGACACCATCGCCGGCAGGATCTCGTGCTTATGTATGTTGTAGAAATGTGCTAACCTTTCCTTCTGGTGTATCGAATTCTTTAGGTCTTATTCTACTATGGGTCAACCCGAATGTTCTTGTGGAGCTATTGGAGCTTTGCATGTCACCCCTGACATGTGAGGCCTGACATCACAGTTAGTTCCACCCACACGCCTCCAACCAATTACGCTCACTTTTGACCTCCTGATCAGAACATTCCGAGCATCACATTTGAATAAGATTGTCGCAATGCACATAATACTTGTGACACCCCCCCGGCGCAGCACTAGACGAGCGACTCGCTTTGGAATGTTCTTTTTATTGTCTATGACCGAGCAATCACCGCACTGACTCCTTGTGCTAGATGCCAAGCTACTGGGGTTCGAGAGAATATTCGATTCGGTTCGGCCGAGATGTTTATTGGGATACATATTCTGCCAAAGATCATCTAGAGCGAGGCCAGGTACGACAGGGGTGTCCGTACCCACTCACTACGCTTCTTTTCTGAATTTCGAATAGAGTTCCGCACGAAATAATGGTATTGGAAACTCTGTTCACATCATGGGACCTGTCGACGTCTGGACACACGAATGATCACTGGATCGCAGCGCCAGCATGGTCACTTAAGACGCAGTTCGGATCAACATGTCTAGACCATCAATGCATCATCCGCCAAGTATCTCCTTATCTCCTTAATGATGTCGAGGTCCTCGTCTTCATCATTACTGGTCTTCTTTTCCATTATCAGCTTCAAATTAACATTCCTGAGGATTAAATATTAAACTCTGAACCTGATCCAACCCCTTCGAATTCGAACCTAAGCGGTCTTCCCTTCGAATGTGATTTCAATATTTTAATATGTATCATGATGAGAATGATTAGTACTGCGCTCACACTGCGTTTGGAACTTTGATATTGACTTGAGGCACATTCTTCGCCGTCCCCGACCAACTAACCAACCAAACCATTCTGAGCATGAAACCCAGAAGCAGTTATTCATTTGCTGGTTGCTGTAAGTAGTCAAGACTGTCGTCCCTTAATTGCGTCAAGACCGTTAGGCCAAAAGGCAGTGATGATCAAAGCTCACGCTTGATTACCGCAGACAGTATTTATGTAGATTATGGGAATTCTAGTAAGCCAGCGGGCTTGCTCAGTCATTTTTGTCACGGGGATTGGTCAGTGATGGGTGGATATTTATATGTACGTCAACTAAGTACTGGGAGTCGAAGCGGTGCGGGGATACGCCGGGAAAAGCTATGGTTGACGATGTGATAAAGTGTGAATGGCTGTACATCCAAAACTCTCCAAGACTACTACGCAGCGGCGCCCATACCAGACTAACAGTAAGCAGTACTGCCAGTACAAAACATGACTGTCACTTCCACGACGATGCACCGTCATTTTCACAGCCACTAACCATAAAAGGCAGGCGTAGTGCAAAGGTACACCCCTTGACAGTACGCGACGTGGCTGCCACTATTCAAAGCCTAACTTGCTACTGGTCCACATGCCAACACAAGCCCTAGCTCACACTTTTTACGATTAACCAACCAGCCAACCAACCACGAGCACGTCCCATTAGCTATGGCTACTCACGAACAAGAACACGACGACCCACCTCGCCCTTTTTCCATCGATCTCACTTTAGAACTCGAGCGCCAGCTCGACAATGAATCAAACCCGAACTCACCCGTAGATGCCACAGGACGTCCTCATTCCTTGGATTCTCATGTCCTTGCTTCAATCGTCACCCAACTGAGACTGTCGCTCTCAGATGTTACAAGAGAGCGAGATGAACTCTCACAGACAGTTGTTGAATTGCGGGCCCGCGAGGCAGAAACTGCGGACACACTTGAGCAGGTGACCGAAAAAATGCTCGAATATGCAGGAGGAACTGGATAATGCTCGCACAAAGATTAAGGATGACGAAGATACGATATCCATACTCAGGACGAAAGTCGAGGAAAGCAGGTTCGTTTCACACCCATATTATCTGCACAACATGCACTCACAGTGCTTCTCAGGCGTGGTCTCATGCGTCTACAATCTGAAAATCGACGGGCGAGTCAAGTGCCCTCAGCTCTTGACTTGTCTAGAGCGGGCATTCCTTCCTTCAATGGCCCGCCATCCTCTAAGCGCGCATCATTGATAGGATCAACGGCTGGGCGTAACAATACCCATAAACGAATATCCTCAGTCTCCGACAACGCCTTCTCCATTGACAGCTCTCATTTGACAACCCCTATATCCACTCCAACTCCCGCGACTTTTACCCTTCCTGATGTGCAGAAAAGCAGGACCCAACAGCCTTCCCACACGAGGCGGATGTCTGGCATGTTCGGTCGTGGGTCACCACCACAGTCACTCTTCCCTTCGGAAGAGTCTGCTGAGTTGGAAATGCTACGCCGGGAGCTCAATGCTGTGAAGGTTGAACTTGACGATGTGAAGCATGAGCTGAGTGAAACAAACGAGGCTCGCGAAGCTTCAGACACTTGCATCAAAGCTCTACGGGAATTCATTGAAGAGAACCAGGTTGGAGCTGTGCCAAAGAGCCTTCCCCCTTTGCCCGCAGAGGTGAAGAAAGCACCACCACCACCAGCTGCTACTGGGTGGGGATTCAAACTCTGGCGGGCAGATTCGTTAACGCAGAGTCCTGTGCTGCCTTCTCCATTCCCCGTCGCACCCGCCGCCCATACTGTATCCCCATCCCTATCATCGCTGACGCCCCCCTGTCCCTCTCTCCAAGAAACTGGGCGACTTCTTCGGTACTCGTGCCACAGCAGCTACTGCTTCTCAAACGCCGCAACGCGTTGAACAAGAGCCAATGTACAATGGCATGTCGGATACGTCATCCATCGAAGACTCTGTCGCCGAGCCCATTAGCCCCGCGAGCGAGCGTCCTCGGCCAGTTGTATACGTACGAGATACCACCAGCGTGACATCTGACTCATCACGAGATCTTGGTGTCAATCTTGAGGGAAAGCTACTTCCCCCATGTGCGGACGAAGCCCTGACCCCTGTTGTTATTTGATTAGTGTGTAGGCGTTTCGGGCTCTTCGTGAGAGCCCTACTAGACATTCGAAAAATCGTTTTCTGATCTCGCACCTAGTTTGGACGGGAATTTCTCAAGATCATGATAGATGCACTTTTTCGCAGATATACCATATACCTCTGTAATACATAAGCACGAGAGCGGGGTAGGATACAAGGAGAACAGACTATCGCTCAAATCAATTTGATGATTATTGTGCTACTCGCAGATGAATCACTTCGAAATCGTTCGATGTTCAACTCAGACGACGCACAATTGGTTGCATTGATAGAAGATGTAAAGATAGGGTAAATCTTCGAAACATTCTATTTTTGACCTTGGCTTCCACACCCCGTCATCTGACCATAAAGCAATTGAGCGCCTTGGCTTGGGAGTGACTTGGTGCCTTGCCGAGAAGATCCTCTTTCAAGCCATGGCACACGTCAGAAGCAAACACAAAACACCCCTGTCCATATCATAGCAAGGTGCACACGCAGTCTCCGGGAATACGCTGAGCCCGCGGTGATGGTATATGTCCAGTGAAGCCGGGCGTTGATTGTTTTTACGCAATGTCGTGGAAATGAGCGGAAGACGGTGCACGTTCGAACATCGGATTTGGCGAGGGATAAAGTTGCCAGCGAAACGGTTGGGTTGGTGGCGTGCCTGAGAAGGATGAAGGAACGTGGTGTGTATACCATGCGTGTGTCCCGCCACTAACTTAATATTGGCAGCTGAAAAGAGAGGGAAAGATGTTAATAGCCTGAGGACACTAACTTAATATTGGCAGCTGAAAAGAGAGGGAAAGATGTTAATAGCCTGAGGACACTGACTTAATATTGGCAGCAGGAAAGATATCATCAGCTTGAGGACACTAACTTGATATCGGCAGCGGAAAAGAGAGGGAAAGTTGTCACTGCAGGACGGTAACGTTTCGGCATCAATATTAATGATTGCTGCCAGTGCAGAATGGGCCAAGTATGTATATGATGCATTGATGTGGGGTCGGGCTTGGCTTCGATCAGCGAACAGGTTCACTGATGAATCGATAAGCTAGGCCGCATTCTGCTATAGGTTGTGTGCCCCCCACACCGCTAGCAATAGAAGCAACATCAATCAGAATCGCTGCAACTTTTTGATCAATAAAGGAGCATCAGAAAGTACGGATGTACTCGGGTAACTCGGAGAGTAACTGTTTCAAACATCCACGGATTTGTAGTTGGCAGCCCGAGGCAGCGTAGGCTGATGCGATTATGGCTAGTCTAGGCGGGGTACTCATCGATGCATCGCAGAGTTTTAGCGCATCATGGTCCGTAAATCGAAACAGGCCGATCTAAAGGCATGATCGCGGGAGCGATCAGCTGACCGTGGCTTGGTACAGTGCTAGTCAGGGTAAAGTACGGTTCAGCGCCTGCTGCAATCTGTCAGTCGGGTGTAGTAGTTTTACATAACTGTCCGTCAGGCCGAACAAACACTCTGAGACTCCTGAACACCGGGGGGGGGTGAACGCGGGTTGTAGTGTCTCGGCTTTCAAAAATCACTAGTGACATTGAGTATTCCGTAGTTGTCGTGCGTAGATCTGTGTGACAGTGATCCATAGAAACCCGGCCGGAGGCCAATTTTATTATGAGCTCAAAGTCTTTGAGAGGCCGTGACCGTGATTTGCGATGATTAACGTACTTGGTCCGTTCGAGATATAAGGCAAAGGGTAATAATTTCTTGCAACGTGAAGACCGAAATTTCTTCGGTTGGAAATTCAACTGAAAAAGCGGCGAAAAAGTGAGGCAGTACTAGTCTCGGGTGCGGATCTACTATTATCTTTCAATCACACCCTAGCACGAGGACTATCAAACAATGGATGAATGCTCATCAGGTGCGTTCAGTTCGAGAACCGCGGATGAATGATAATGATGGACTTGGACGATTCGAGTGAAATATATGTCCCATCCGCTCATAACGCATGCAAGTTCCGATGCGCAATCGATTATCACGGACTCCTACGAAGTCGTCCTAGCCTGGCAGAATTATCGCAATCCCACATCGATAAGACCACACGTCGATATCCCACTATAGACAACCACTAAGTTGTGTCTGCATAGGTCTTGTCATGAGAATGCCTCAAGGCACAGGGTAAACACCTGGTGGGCAAAATGAATATGAATTGATTGGATTCCAAAAATGGTGGAAAGAGATGTATACTTATCTATACTTATAAGCTCATTAATCGCGATTGTCGATAGCACAAATGTAGAAAACGATTGGGGGACATTGTGAAATAATTTGTTAGCCTTTTTTTGACATTGCTTCACTGACTTCCAAGAACAAATCTCGTGAGCTCACAAAAAAGGTTTATACGATCTCCATTCCGATTAGATTGTGTAGATCGTCTTCTTGAATTTTAAGATGGCTCTGGATGCGTTAGTGCCTGGAGGTGGCCGATGTCATGAGCGTCGTCCTGTGTAGTTTTATGTAGTCACGCTCTCACTTCTAGCATGCAAAATGTGTATGCGGTGTGAGAATGACTTCTAGATAGTGATCGGTGTGAGTAAGCGAAAGGGCGCGGCCTTCCCCTTGTATTCTGACACTGGTAGTGCAAGCAAGACCTGCATCGGTGTTGTTTACCGGTACCGCAGCGACAGAAGGGAGTGTCCTTCTCATCTCGTTATCGCTGTCGTTAGTGTGTGCTTCTTTTCGGACGCCATGAGCGGTGTCCACAACACTAGTGCGTGGTTCAGCGAATTTTGAACATCGCATTGAGGAGAAATACTCTGTATTTTTTAGAAAGGCCTAGCCCGTCTTGCTAAGCGAGAGACGTTGACGATGACACGTCATGAGTCCTATCAGCCGGAAGAATAGAACACGGGGTATTAGTAGAATCATGTAACACGGTGTGTACCTGGGGAAGGCTGTCCAAGGGTCCAGACTCCAGACTATTTGCGACAGACTTAGGTGCGAGCTAGTATGTCCCTCGCTGTGGATGTCCTCGAGTTATGTTAATCTTTGGGATGAACACTGATTAGTATACTTACCACAAGATCCGATTATGCTGGGGTGATTATGGAAATGACGGAACGGCGGAAAAAAAGGTTTATCCGCAATGAATTGAAGACTCGTGAATGGCGTAGAGTCAGACAGGTTATGAAGGCCTCGTGTTTTTTAAATCTTGATAGAAGGATGAATTCTGGAAGTGGAATTACTATGTGAGCAAGCTAGGGGGGTCACAAATCACTCCGCGTGCAGCTTGTGAGGTCAGCGACAGTCAATTACATCCGTGCCGGGGGGTCGGCAAGGGGGTGATAAACCGATTAATCCACATTTAGAAATCAATGTACATACCCTATGTAATAATCAGCGCGGAATTTAGTTGGGCATAGTTCACATAGGCTCAATTGAAAACACATCACAATGTGATAATTATGGTCATCTGTCTTCTTCTCTCCTGCCATCAGTCTACATCGCCCTTGGGGCCTCCATATGTTATCATCCCCAGTCTCTCCAAATCGCATGGAGCAAAATCTCTTTGCTGATGCAGCTAAGAAACGTAGAAAAGGCGCTACTCGTCTTTCATGTGCGGAATGTAGACGGTAAGCCATAGAAACGCATGTAATATTACTCACTTTTATCATTCAATGTTTTTATTTTACAGTCTAAAGTTGCGTTGTGATAGAGCGATTCCTTGTGGCTCTTGCGTGAAACGTGGCTGTGGTGCCATCTGTCCAGATGGTGCGACTCCAGCTCAACTCAATGCAAGCCAACAGGCTGATTATAAATGTCATAGGTTCTTTGACAACTGGCCAGGGGAACAGGTGAGCAGTACCTGTCGTGCCAAGCCGACTACTGTCTGATTATGTCTTCCAATCAAGATTCGTTTTGGCGTCAACTCAAGAGCTTCATGAGAAAATATCAGAACTCTGTCAACGTGTCCGAGATTTAGAAGACGCTCTTCGGCACTCGCATTGTCTAGTCTCCACAGACAAGCATCCTCTATTAACTGATGACTTATTGCAAATCAAATCACCTTTGCAACGCGAGCCCCCAAGTAACAGAAACGTACCTCGATCTGAAGCCAAGGAAGAAGAGCAGAACGGCGAGGTTGTTGACGCTTTTGGCTCCTTATCGATCAATGCTTCTGGGGGTGCAAAATACTTTGGCTCCATCGCGAACTCTTGGGTACGTGAATACTCATTCAACGAGGTTGTTGCTATGTCTGATTACGAGTGCTCCAGTATTTCCTACAGGTCCGTCTAAGTGGTTAAATTTGCCCCTAATTATTTTCTAAATATCTGCAGAATGAAGCAAGCGAAGATCTTGAGACTGACGGTGATCGTCTTGCTGCACTTCAAACCGTCCTTCCTGCCGACATTCTCGCGCGAAGTGGGGCGTTCCCAATTCTGCCCTCATCACACGCATCCATTCATGTTGAGAACGTGCGACTAAGAACTCTGTTCTGGTACCTTCCGGAGCACGCCAAAGCTCAAGAGATATTTCAGACCTACTATCGCCTAGGTGCATGGATGTCTGTCCGCTTTCCTCTATTGTAGTGAACATTCTGACCCCCCCCGAAAGGTATAATCCCATAAGCCAGCAGTGCTTCTACGAAGATATATATCCCCAATTTTACACATCCAGTGTCGGTCCGCCCTCCGATGATCCCCTTCTTTCACACAAATTGTCTCTCGTGTTCATGGTTCTCGCGATTGGTACCCTCATGGATGTACACCAACCAGCCTACAATGTCGAAGCCGAGAAATATCACCAATTAGCTCGGGCTGCGCTATTCCAAAGCTCACTTTTCGAAGATCCGACTATTAGTGCCGTTCAAGCTCTTGTAAGCATACCATGATGAAATTCCGATATCATTCTCACGCATGTGATTTCAGTTCCTCATGACTTTTTACCTTTTTATGTCGGACCGACATGGTTCCAATTCTGGCGCACGGTGGGCAATTATGGGTATAGCTATCAAAGTGGCGCAAAGTGTAAGCCGTACATAGCCAAGGGCCCTGGTTTATTATGCTCACCTGGTCACTCGGTAGATTGGCCTGCGTACGTAATGTTATCGCACCCCAATGCGGTTCGAGATACTAACGCCATAAATTCTCATCCATCAGACCGAGATCCCAGTCGGTGGGGAGTGGATCAAAAGGAGACTCTGCGTCGCAGAGAGCTCTTCTGGGAACTATATACATATGACTCGTGGCAGGTGCGCCCCATTTGGTATTGTGGAT